TGGGAACTCAGATTAGTTAGAAAGTTGGATTACAGTAAGCTATTATGTAAATTCTCTTCAGCTATTTGAATTAAATGCCAAAGAAACTTGAGAATAATTAATTCTACTAGCTGGATTGGTATATGGACAGAGGAGAGGTGGTATTTCAGTCACATCTTGAAAAATGAGTATAGTTTCACATGAGAGAAAAGCAGAACAGCCGTGGACCTATATGGGACACACAGGACATTCCAGGAAGGGCAAGTTGCTTGTGACTGGTGTGTAGGATGGAAAGTGTAGGAGACGGCCAGCAATATCCAGATCAGGGCCAGATTTGGTGAATGTCAGCTTAGAGAATTTTGGAATACTTACATATTTCAGATTACAGACTCCAAAATCAAAACTCTAGCTGGACAGAGCCTAAAGGCTACTGTGAAAGTCTTCATCTTTTCCATATTTGCCCATGGTGCTTTTAGACTCAGTAAGCCAGTGAAACTTCTGTTACCTATTTAGTCATTTGTTCAGTTAAGTTTAGCATTTTCTTATTGAATTCAAACTATGTGTATCTGTGCTAAATTCCATGACTCCAGATACAGGAACAACATCCAGCTATTTTTAGAGATGGGGGTCTTGCTCTAGCTCAGGCTGTTCTTGAACTCTTGAGCTCAGGTGATCCACCTGCCTGGCCTCCCAAAGTGCTGGGATTACAGGCATAAGTCACCGCACCTGGTCGTCATTTACTCTAACTTAATTGCACTGGTCTAAGTTTATTTAGAAGGTAGAGCCAAGTCTACTAGTCACTCTTTACTTAGAGGCTAATGTGTAGAACACTAGCCCCATGTACTCTAGGTTAGAGTCAGACTGTCTTCTAAGAAGCTGGCTTAGATTCTTTGATGCTGTGTCACCAGGCAAAACTTTCTAGCCACTGTTTCTGCCATCCTCTCCATCTTAAACAGAAAAGACAAGATTACTTTATAAGCCACGAGAAGGGAGGGAGATTAGCTGGAATTATCCTGTTATCTATTTATCTTCTGATGGAAAAGACAAAACACATGTGCAAGAAAACGTAAATGGGTCCAGTGGAAGTCAGTCTTTTTTCTCTTATTTGTTTTTTAGTGACTCCCTGGACCCCAGCTTGGGGAAGTCACTCTTTCAGTAGTAGGTGGGTAGGGCCATGGGTCTCTGCTGCTTGGGCAGCAATAGAAGTGGCAGTAGCCAGGCAACCAAGCTTTGCAAAGGCTCTCAGAACACAGCAGACCACAGACACCAGGCAGGACCCTGCCCACTGCTGAGATACCTAAGAAGGTCAGCTCTGCCCGAGGTGCAGTGGTGGAAGAGCTCACGAGGAAGGAGATTAGCACAGTTGTCAGCTCAGTGTACTCCTGCAAAAGTGGAAACAAAACCAAAGAAGGCAGCAGCAAAGGATAAATCTTCAGACAAAAGTGTGTAACCAAAAAGAAAACAGGCCATAGTAGCTAACCAGGAAACCAAAGATTTACTGGTAGCAGAGGGGGGTGGCTTATGCCTATAATCCTTGTACTCTGCGAGGATAAGGTAGGTGGATTGCCTGAGCTTGGGAGTTCCAGACCAGCCTGAGCAAGAGCAAGACCTCCATCCCTACTAAAAAAAAACAGAAAAACTAGGTGTTATGGCAGGCTCCTGGAGTCCCAGCTTCTTGGGAGACTGAGACAAGAGGATCTCTTGAGCCCAAGAGTTTGAGGTAGCTGTGAGCTATGACACCCTGCCCAGGGTGACAGAGTGAGACTCTTGTCTCAAAAAAAAAAAAAAAAGCAGGAATCCCACTTCATCCCATTTTTTAAGTGTAAATACTTTTTTTTTTTTTTTTGAGACAGTCTCATTTTGTGGCCCTTGGTAAAGTGCCATGGTGTCACAGCTTACAGCAACCTCCAACTCTTGGACTCAAGTATTTCTCTTACCTCAGCCTCTGGAGTAGCTGAGACTACAGGCACCCACCACAGCATCCAGCTTTATTTTAGAGATGGGGTCTTGCACTTGCTTAGGCTGGTCTCAAACCTGTGAACTCAGGCAATCCATCTGCCTTGGCCTCCCAGAGTGCTAGGATTACAGGCATGAGCCTCTGCACCCAGCCAAGTAAATAAATACTTTTTTTTGTTTGTTTGTTTGAGACAGAGACTCACTATGTCACCCTGGGTAGAGTGCCATGGAGTCACAGCTTGCAGCAACCTCAAACTCTTGGGCTTAAGTGAGTCTCTTGCCTCAGCGTACCAAGTAGCTGGGACTACAGGCACCCGCCATGATGCCCAACTACTTTTTCATTGCAGTTGTCATTGTTGTTTAACTGGCCCAGGCTGGGTTCGAACCCATCACCCTCAGTGTATTTGGCTGGTGCCCTACCCACTGAGCTATAGGCGCTGCCCCAAGTAAATACTTTTTTTTAATAAAAGCTTTGTGAGGAAGGGAAAGTAGATTTATTATTATTATTTTTATTATTATTATTTTTTTATTTTTTTTATAGAGACAGAATTTCACTTTATCGCCCATGGTAGAGTGCTCTAGCATCACAGCTCACAGCAATCTCCAGTTCTTGGGCTTAGGCGATTCTCTTGCCTTAGCCTCCCAAGTAGCTGGGACTACAGGCGCTCGCCACAACACCTGGCTATTTTTTTGTTGCAGATTGGCTGGGTCCAGGTTTGAACCCACCACCCTTGGTATATGGGGCTGAGCTACAGGCGCCACCCATAAATACTTTTTTTTAAAGAGGTGAAATCATTTGCTGGTTGCTTTTTTATTTGTTTGTTTGTTTTGTGTGTGTGTAACCAGAAAATAGTGCAGGATGTTGAATTATGGGAGATTTTGACTGTCTCGAGGTCAGCTTAACATTCCATGGGGGGTTAGTTTTTATATCCTGTAATGCAGAGCATACTAAATGGCAATATGGAGTCCCAGTCTTGCATTTAATGCCTTGAACCGTTAAAACTTTTTCTAGTCCCTTGTTTTTTAGTAGAATTGTTTCCTAACGAAAACCACTGCCTTGATCATGGCTCTCCCTGTCGGAATTGTGTATACTCTAGGACATCTTTGGTTGTGGTAGTCCTGTCTGTTTTTCGAATAACTTTGTAATATGTTGTGAAAGACTGAAAATTTGAGTATGTAATGTATATAGTAATAAACTGGGAATTCGTGGGACTTGTGTAACAGCTTAGCAACATTTCAAGGTATTGGTACTTGACATCCTCTTATGGAAAAATTGCCTCTAAATTTTAAGCTGGAAAGTCACTGAAATAATTGTTTTAAAAAAGAATTACAATAAGGCGGCGCCTGTGGCCCAGTCAGTAGGACGCTGGCCCCATATGCCGAGGGTAGCAGGTTCAAACCCAGCCCTGGCCAAACTGCAACAAAAAAATAGCCAGGTGTTGTAGTGGACACCTGTACTTCCAGCAAGAGAATCGCCTAAGCCTAGGAGTTGGAGGTTGCTATGAGCTGTGACGCCACGGCACTCTACTGCGGGTAATAAAGTGAAACTCTGTCTCTACAAAAAAAAAAAAAAGAATTATAATAAATGACCTTTTAGATTTTTGGGTATGTATGTTAAGAATCATACGAATTAAAATATCTGTATTGGGCTCAGGGCCCATAGCTCAGTGATTAGGCGCCGGCCACATACAGCAAGGCTGGAGGGTTCAAACCTGGCCTGAGCCTGCTAAACAATAATGACAACTACAACAAAATAATAGCTGGGTGTTGTGGTAGGTGTCTGTAGTCCCAGCTACTTGGGAGGCTGAGGCAAGAGAATCGTTTTAGCTCAAGAATTTGAGGTTGCTGTGAGCTGTGACGCTGCAACACACTTCTGAAGGTGACAAAGTGAGACTCTGCCTTGAGGAAAAAAAAAAAAGAAAATAGCCAGTGTTGTGGCAGGTGCCTGTAGTCCCAACTACTTGGGAGACAGAGGCAAGAGAATTGCTTAAGCCAGTAGTTCTCAAACTGTGGGTCGTGACCCACAGGAACTGTATTAAAGGGCTACAGCATTAGGAAGGTTGAGAACCACTGGCTTAAGCCAAGAGTTTAAGAGCTGTGATGGCATGACACTCTACTGAGGGCGACAAGTGAGTCTCTGTCTCAAAAAGAAAAAAATTTTAATTCTACGAGTTAAAATGTCTGTGTTGAGGGGTGGCACCTGTAACTCAGTGGGTAGGGCACCTGTAACACGCACCGGGACTGGTGGGTTTGAACCCAGCCTGGGCATACTAAAACAAAAAACAAAAAATATAGCCAGGGGTGGCACCTGTGGCTCAAAGGAGTAGGGCGCCAGCACCATATGCCAGAGGTGGCGGGTTCAAACCCAGCCCCAGCCAAAATAAATAAATAAATAATAACAACAAAAAATATATATATAGCCAGGTGTTGTGGCAGGGACCTGTAGTCCCATGTACTAGGGAGGCTGAGGCAAGAGAATTGCTTGAGCCCAAGAGTTTGAGGTTGCTGTGAGCTGTGACACTATAGTACTCTACCAAGGGCAACATAGTTAGACTCTGTCTCAATTAAAAAAAAAAAAGAAATGTCTATGTTGATCTTCAACACAACCAATGAAACTCTGAACTATAAAAGAAAAAAGAAATAAAATAGTAGATGGGCAGAACACAGGCTGCAAGAAGTAACTGGTGTTTCCTCAGTCTTCTTCCTCTCTTTATAGAAACTAACTTTGGTTGAAAGATAACAGAGCGGCCAGGTGTGGTGGCTCACCCCTGTAATCCTAGCACTGTGGGAGGCCGAGGCAGGAAGATCCCTTGAGCTCAAGAGTTTGAGACCAGCCTGAGCAAAGTGAGACCCTGTTTACCGAAAACCAAAAAATTAGCTGGCCTGTAATCCCAGCTACTTGAAGGCAGGAGAATAGCTTGAATCCAATTTAAGGTTGCTGGAAGCTAGGCTGAGGCCAGGGCACTCTAGCCCAGGTGACAGAGCAAGACTCTGGCTCAAAAACAAAGAAAAGATAACAAAGTGATATTTTACTTACGACTTTTTTTCTCCCTTTGATTCCTTAGTTACAGAAGAATTGCCTCCTTTCGCTTTGCAGTGACCGGATCCTCCAAGATGTTCCGTTTAACAGGCAAGTGATAGCCCTAGAACTTAAAATGGAGCAAAACAGAATTTTCAAAATCTGTCTTAGGCCATTTTTTACAATTTAGCTTTAGGATATCGCTGGTGTAAGATTAACTAAGTAGGTTGGACTGTGGGTTGCTTATAGAACACTCTACTTTCTTTTTCTTTTTTTTTTTTATAATAGAGACAGAGTCTCACTTTGTCACCCTTGGTTGAGTGCTATAATGTCATAGCTTGCAGCAACCTCCAGCTTTTGGGCTTAGACAATTTTCTTGCCTCAGCCTCCTGAGTAGCTGGGACTACAGTCGTCCACCACAATGGCAGGCTATTTTTTTTGTTATTGTTGTTGCAGTTTGGCCCGGGTGGGTTCGATCCCACCACCCTCAGTATATGGGGCCAGTGCCCTACTACTGAACCACAGGCGCCACCCTCTACTTTCTCTAATTTGGTGCTTTGACATATATGGAAGCAATTGGCCCGTTTTCATAATCCTTTGCTTAAGAACTTACATTATTTATAATTTTTAGAATATCTATACAGTATTTTCAGCTATAAGCATTATTATCCCCATTCAAAAGGTGAAGAAACCAGGGTATATGAAGATTTATTATCTTGGCTGTGATTTTGTGACTAAATAACTGCAATGTTGAAAGACTCTGGTCTTCTAGTTGTAGGTAACTAGAATTATGACTGTAACATACCTCTTATCATTATTTATTTATTTATTTTGATATAGTCTCAAGCTGTGACCCTGGGTAGAATGCTGTGGCATCACAGTTTAGAGCAACCCTAACTCTTGGCCTTAAGCGATTCTCTTGCCTCAGCCTCCCAAGCAGCTGGGACTACAGGTACCTGCCAGAACACCGACATTTTTTTTTTGCTCTTTAGAGACGAAATCTCACTCTAGCTCAGGCTGGTCTTGAACCTGTGAGCTCAGGCAGTCCACCCACCTTGGCCTCCCAACTGCTGGAATTACAGTTGTGAGCCACCACGCCCAAGCAGCAAATACTTTCTTAAAGGGCTAGATTGTAAATATTTTAGGGCCAAAGGGTCTCTGTTACAACTACTTAGCTCTGCCATTGTACATCAAAAGCAGTCATAGACTATATATAAACAAGAGGGTGTGTCTTTGTTCCCATAAAGCTTTATAAACAGCCCCCAGTGCACTCTGCTAGAACTGACCCTCTTTTGGTCAGAGGTTGTGCTTCGTACATCTCTTTGTCTCTTGTGCTTGAATGGATGTTTAATTGATGGATAAATGAATGACTGAATGAGTAGAACATGAGACAGAATTTTTTTTTTTTTTTTTTTGAGACAGAGTCTCACTATGGCATACTCAGTAGAGTGTCATGGCATCACAGCCACAGCAACTTCATACTCTTGGGTTTAAGTGATTCTCTTGCCTCAGCCTCCCAAGTAGTTGGAACTATAGGTGCCCGCCACAACGCCCAGCTATTTTTTTGTTGCAATTGTCATTTTTCCTTTAGCTGGCCCAGGCCGGGCTTGAACCTGCCACCCTCACTGTATGTGGCCGGCATCCTAACCACTGAGCTACGGGCGCTGCTCCATAATCAGAATTTTCCATTGAAGAGGTATCGATGGACTTCATTGTACTCTAACACAAGGAAGGAAAGATTTCATCTGATTGATGATCATTAAAGACTTTGTGTTAGTGATGGTACTTGATATCATAAAGATAACTAATATGTATGAAGCATTTAATATTGTCAGTAACTGTGCCATAGTGTTTTATGTATGCTTATTCAGTCCTCAAAACAATCCTGTGAAATTGTTACTTTTATAATCTTTATTTTATAGATGAGGAAATAGAGGTACAGAAAGGTTTAGTAACTTACTTAGGGTAATAAGGTAAATAGCAAAGTATAGGTTTAAATCCAGACTTATTCCAAATCCCATACTTTTTATATCCATACTGTGTTGCTTTGTTTTTTCTTTGCTTTTCTTTTTTTTTTGAGACAGAGTCTCACTTTGTCACCCTCGGTAAAGTGCTGTGGTGTCACAGCTCACAGCAATCTCCAGCACTTGGGCTTAGGCAATTCTCTTGCCTCGGCCTCATGAATAGCTGGGATTAGAGGCGCCCGCCACAACGCCCAGCTATTTTTGTTGTTGTTGTTGCACTTTGTCTGGGTCCAGGTTCAAACCCGCCACCCTTGGTATATAGGGCTGGCGCCCTACTCACTGAACTATAGGTGCTGCCCCTGCTATGTTGCTTTGACGATGAAAGTTGGTTGAGTTGGCTGGGCAAGGTGGCTCATGCCTGTAATCCTAGCACTCTTAGGAGGCCAAGGCAGGTAGATTGCGTGAGCTCGCAGGTTTAAGACCAGCCTGAGCCAGAGTGAGACCTCATCTCTAAAAGTAGTCAGACATTGTAGTGGGCACCTGTAGTCCCAGCTACTCTGGAGGCTGAGGCAAGAGAATGGCTTGACCCCAAGAGTTTGAGGTTGCTGTGAGCTATGATGCGACAGCACCCTATCAAGGGCAACAAAGTGAGACTGTCTCCAAAAACAAAAACAAAGAAAAGAAAGTTGGTTGAGTTGTTTTATGTTGTGAGAACTGCCTGAATAAAGGCACAGAGGAAGTTAATAATACTAGTAAAAATTAACTTTTATGAAATGTTTATTACATAAGTCCTCTACTAAGTCTTAAGCTTATATGTGATGGAATAGGTTTTTATTGTTAAAACCTATTGGTAAACCGATGGAATAGGTTTTTATTGTTATTGTACAAATAGGGATATTGAGCTTAAGAGAGATTAAGGTACTTGCCCAGGGTCCGAACTCAGTAAGTGGTGGAACTGATATTTGAATGTCAGCTGACTCTAAAATGTATCATGTTCTAAATGACTGCATTGTCTCACATGATAAAATAATTTGCTTTATTATTATCATTAACACCCAGGAATCTGTCCTGTTCACCACCAGGCTATATTACATGTGTCTTCTGACAAGGTTATTTACTTCTAATATATAGGCACAAATTGAAGGGAAAGCAATGGGGACAGAGAAGCCAATTAGGAATTTACTGTAGAACAGCACCAATAATGGGCCTGATCAAAGATGGCCTTGGGAATAGAAAGAAGGTAATAGTAAATTTGAGGGAAGTTGCAGAGTCGTGATCTACCTCAATGCAAGTATAATCAGTCAACATATATCAAACACTATTTGTCAGTCACTGTATTGAGTGCTTAGCATAAAAGTATTAAATAGAATATGGTCCCCTCCCTCAAGGAGTCACAGGCCAATGGGGGATTTGGGTGAGTTTATAGGTGATCACCGATCTCTGACAAGAGTTCTAAACAATGCACCAAGTTGATGAGAAGGCAGTGATAAACTCAAGAAAACCTTCTCAAAGGAAGTTACATCTGGCTGGATGTGGTGGCTTGTACTTATAATCCTAATAATCCTAGTCCTCTGAAAGGGTGAGGTGGGTGAATTGTTTGAGCTTAGGAGTTCAAGACCAGCCAAAGCAAGAGCAAGACCCCCTCTCTACTAAAAAAAAAAAAAGAAAGAAAGAAAGAAAAGAAAATAGCTGGGTGTCATGGCAGGTGCCTGTAGTTCCAGCTACTCAGGAGGTTGAGGCAAGATGTTCACTTGAGCCCAGGAATCTCAGGTTGCTATGAGCTGTGATAGAATAGCACTCAACCCCAGGAAGATAGTGTGAGACTATCTCAAAAAAAAAGAGAAAAAAAAAAAAAGAAAAAGAAGGCTCAGCGCCTGTAGCACAGTGGTTACAGTGCCAGTCACATACACCGAGGGTGGTGGGTTGAAACCCGCCTGGGCCAGCTGAAACAACAACGACAACTGCAACAAAAAATAGCTGGGTGTTGTGGCAGGCGCCTGTAGTCCCAGCTACTTGGAAGGCTGAGGCAAGAGAATTGCTTAAGCCCAAGAGTTTGGGGTTGCTGCAAGCTATGATACCATGGCACTCTACCCAGGGCGACATAATGAACTCTGTCTCAGAAAAAATAAAATAAGGAAGTTATATGTGAGCTGAGTCTGGAAGGCTGAGACTATAGGTAAGATTATCAGATACACATATACTCTAGAATGCTCACAGCAACCTCCATCGTCTCCTACACTCAGTTCTTTGGCAAATCCATCTCTGTATTCAGAATATATCCAGAATTTGACTTATTTCTCTTCACTTCCATTTCTATCTCTTCAGATAAACTAAAAGTGATTTATCTCCTCACTTATTACAGTAGCCTCTGAACTGCTCTCCTGCTTCTGTCCTTGCTCTCCTGAAGTTTATTCTAAACGCAGCTGGTAAAATATCTCAGTTTATATTATATCTACTTAGAAGCCTTCCATGTCTTTTCCTCTTGTTGAGAGTAAAAGATGATTCTTTATTAAGACTCTGTATGGGCTAGGGCACCTGTAGGTCAGCGGCTAGGGCGCCAGCCACATACACAGGAGCTGGCGGGTTCAAATCCAGCCTGGGCCTGCCAAACAACAATGATAATTACAACCAAAATAGTTGGGTGTTGTGGCAGACTCCTGTAGTCCCAGCTACTTGGGAGGCTGAGGCAAGAGAATCGCCTAAGCCCAGGAGTTGGAGGTTGCTGTGAGCTGTGTGACACCACGGCACTCTACTGAGGGTGATAGACTGAGACTCTGTCTCTACAAAAAAAATAAAATAACAAAATAAATTATAGCATCTGTTTCCCATACCTCTGAAAATTGTGGCTGGTACTCCAGAATTTGTTGATGAAACGCTTTGTGTGTTTTCAGATTTGAAGCAGCCAAGCTTGTCATGCAGTGGCTCTGCAACCATGAGGATCAAAACATGCAAAGGATGGCAGTGGCTATCATTTCCATCCTAGCTGCCAAGGTACCTGCATTCTTGCTGCATAATTTTCTATAGGCATCTGCTTCTCATTACATTCCCCCAAATCTGTGGCCCCAGAAAGACTAGTGAACCTCTCTGTTAGCCTGCTTATTCAGACTGCATTCAGATTTACAGAAGTCTAGTCTGACCTTGAGAATCTGTTACAGTGAGTGCTGTTGAACTCACACTGGTGAGTTCATGGACATTTACTTTGTTTTATGCTTACTTGCAGCTTTCTACAGAACAAACTGCACAACTTGGTGCTGAGCTCTTCATTGTCAGAGTAAGTCTGTTTTTCCTCTGTACAGGGCAGTAGATAGTGCGTACATACTCATTTTTATTGCTTCTATCATTTTATATGTTTTTTAAAAGTTCTTTTTGTTACTTCTAAGTGGATGTATTCATTTCTTTTCATAGAGGCAGCTTTACTCCTTAACAGAAATAGAGAGAGCTGTGAACTAGGAATTGGATGACCTAAGATCTAACTTTTGTAAACTCATTTTGTGAATTTAGGCAAATTACTTGAACCTGGGCCCACATAAGCATTAGTGTCTTATCTACCTGTCTAGTTCTAAAATTCTGTGATTTTTTTTTTTGCAGCTTTTGGCTGGGGCCAGGTTTGAATCCACCACCTCTGGTATATGGGGCCAGCACCATACTCCTTGAGCCACAGGCGCTGCCCCAAATTCTGTGATTTTTATTGTTTATCTAGAAAACATAGGCACTCTGTTATAGGCATAAGAGTGTGCTATATGCTTCGGAGAAGCAGATAATTTAAGTAATTGATATGTGATTTTGCTTGCTTATAATCAGTTGAAGAAATAATAGTAAACAGTATAAAGTTTAAAAAGCTTTAAAGAGAGTAGATAGAAACTGTTTTAGGAAGGACTATAGGCAAAAAGTCTGTTTTAAGAGCTTCTTATTAAAATTCCTTTGTTGGCTCGGCGCCTGTGGCTCAAGTGGCTGAGGTGCCAGCCACATACACCCAAGGTGGCAGGTTCAAATCCAGCCCGGGCCTGCCAAACAACAGTGATGGCTGCAAACAAAAAAAATAGCTCAGCGTTGTGGAGGGTGCCTGTGGTCCCAGCTACTTGGGAGGTGGAGGCAGGAGACTCTCTTGAGCACAGGAGTTAGAGGTTGCTGTGAGTTGTGATGTCACGGCACTCTACCCAGGGGGACAGCTTGAGGCCCTGTCTCAAAAATAATAATAATAATAAAAAAATAAAATCCCTTTGTTTACTTACACCTGTAATCCTAGCACTTTGGGAGGCTGAGGTAGAGGATTGCTTGAGACCAGGAGTTCAAGACCAGTTTGAGCAAGATTGAGAACCTTGTTTCTACAAAAAATAAAAAAATTAGCCAGGCTTGGTGACATATACCTGTAGTCTCAGCTACTAGAAAGGCCAAGCCCAGCGGATTGCTCGAGCCCAAGAGTTTTACAATGGCACCACTGCACTCTACCCAGGGTGACAAAAGAAGACTCTGTCTCAAAAAAAAAAAAAAAAATCCTGTCATGAGATGTTTGAACAGTAATAGTACATAGAAAGGTCAAGTAAGATCCCAGGCGCAGTAGCTCACATCTTTAATCCTAGCACTCTGGGAGGCCAAGGTCAGGGGATTGACTGAGCCCCTGGTTTTGAGACCAGCCTGAGCCAAAGTGAGACCTTGTCTCAAAAAATAGCTGGGTGTTGTGGCAGGTACCTGTAGTCCCAGCTGAGGGACTCAGGAGGCTGAGGCAAGAGAATTGCTTGAGCCCAAGAGTTTGAGGTTGCTGTGAACTATGACACCACAGCACCCTACCAAGAGCAACAAAGTAAAAGACTCAGTCTCAAAAAAAGAAAGAAAAGAAAAGTCAAGTAAGAGACTCCTTTTTCCCATAACTTATACATAATGTATGCAATGAGAAAGTGAGTCATTCATTTGATAACTATGTATAGCATACCCATCAAGTTCCTGCCACTTTCCTAGATAATGGAGATTCACGCTGAATTGTGTCTACAATTTCTTCCCATTGACTCACAGTATAAAAGAGAAAATAGCTATGTAAATGTGGTTATAATACAATCTAAAAAGTATAATTTGGATACAGTAGCACACACACATACCTGTAATCCCAGTGACTCAGGAGGCTGAGGCTGAAGAAACATTTGAGAGCTTAAGTTTAAGACTAGCTAGCCGGCTCGGCACCTGTGGCTCAAGTGGCTAAGGTGGCAGGTTCGAATCCAGCCCAGGCTGGTGAAACAACAATGATGGCTGCAACCAAAAAATAGCCGGCATTTTGGTGGGCGCCTGTGGTCCCAGATACTCAGGAGGCTAAGGCAGGGGACTCGCTTGAGCCCAGGAGTTGGAGGTTGGTGTGAGCTGTGATGCCACAGCACCCTACCCAGGGGAACAGCTTGAGGCTCCTATCTCAAAAAAAAAGGATCTCTTGAGTCCAAGAGTTAGAGTTAGAGGTTGTTGTGAGCTATGATGACACCATAGCACTTTACCCAGAGCAACATAATAAGACTCTGTCCCAAAAAGGAAAAAAGGCTTTTTATGCTGTAAGTATGTCTTAATAATTTGGCTAGAGATATATTCAGAGATTTTAAGTAAGAGGGGTGTCCAACTTGTGGCCCACTATGGGAAGACTTTTGCTTCTCTGTAGAGGTGGATATCACAATCATGCATGGCCTTTTTTCTTTGCTCATCAGTTTCTGTTAGTGTTGGTGTATTTAACATGTGGCCTAAGACAACGCCTCTTCTTCCAGTGTGACACAAAGAAGCCAAAAGATCAGACACTCCTGGAGGAAATCAAGCTTAGTTTAATAGTAGGAATTAATAGTAGTAGTGATAATGATTATAGCTAGTTTTTTTTCCACCTCTTAATTATCACTTGCAATGTATAGTTTAGGAAAAGAAAGAAATAAACTGGTAAAGTTGTGCAGATAGCCAGATAACAGAGTGTATATTTAAGCTCAGGTAGGTTTCTTCTTGTGCTATACTCTTAGACATTATGCTATTAACTGGCCTAATTGTACCTGGACGTTTGTGTTCCTTAAATTTTTTTTCCTAAATTGTGTATAACCTTTAGTAATAGTGTTCTTAATGTCTCCTTATATCTGTTTTAGCACATCTTTCTTTTACCCCCAAAGGGTAATCTGAAAATGGAATTATGGATGCCTTATATAATTTTTAAACCATTTCTCTTTCAGACTTAAATTTCTCAGGGTAAAACTATGATAGAAATAATTTACAATTGGAATTCAAAGCTATCATCTTTATATCCAATATAGACTTTAATTCTCTGATCATTGAATCTTACCATTTTAAAAGAAAATCGGGAGTTAAGTATATGGTAGAATCAGTTCTTCCAATTCCTACTTTCTCTTACTAAGTTGACTATAATCAAATTACTTAATGTAAAAATAAACAAAGCAAAAAACCCCCAAGTTACTTAATTTTTTATTTTTTTGGAAACAGTCTCGCTCTCTTACCTGGGCTAGAATGCCATGGACTCAGGCCTCAGGCTTGCTCACAGCAACTGTAAACTCCTGGGCCCAAGCAATCCTCCTGCCTCAGCCTCCCAACTAGCTGGGACTATAGATTCCTGCCATGACATCTGCTAATTTTTTCTTTTTTCTTTTTTTTTTTTTGGAGTGGGGGCGTATTGCTCCTCAATCTTTCTCAGGCTAGTTTCAAACGCCTGACCTCAAGTGATCTTCCTGGGTCAGCCTCTTACTTAATAGATCTCAGAGTCAGTTTCCTCTTCTGAAAAATGGGGATAATAGTTCCTGTAGCTCAGACGGCTAAGGCACCAGCCACAAGCACAGGAGCTGGTGGTTTGAATCTAGCCTGGGCCCACCAAACAACAATGACAACTACAACTAAAAAATAGCTGGGCATTGTGGCCGGCGCCTGTAGTCTCAGCTACTTGGGAGGCTGAGGCAAGAGAATTGCTTAAGCCCAAGGGTTAGAGGTTGCTGTGAGCTGTGATGCCATGGCACTCTACCAAGGGTGACATAGTTACACTCTGTCTCAAAAAAAGGGCGGGGGGAGATAATAATACAATACGTATAGGTTATAATTTGCTGATCTTTAATAAATATTAACTTCATTTCTCTTAGCCTCCATCTTTTTAATTCTAGGATCTAAAAGTAGTATATGTGATTGGGAAAGATAGTTGATCCGAAGTTTTAATCATTTTGTCTGTGTTATTTACAGGTAATTAGATTGAAGGTATGTTCTGAATAAT